TGATAAACCAGAAACGTTTAAACTACCATGTCCAACCTTACCTGCAAAGCGTGGAGATCGTGGTAAACCCTCTTATGTAGAGGAGGCCCTCTTATGTAGAGGAGGCCCATAGTGTAGTAGGCCATAGTTTTTTATTAAAAAGAAAAAAAAAGTCTAGTGACATAGGCAACATGGGCTGTTGATGTTGATGTATTGAACGAAACCAACATCAGTTAATCTTCAAGTTAAATGTTCCTTGTATCACTACTTAATGGTTTAACAAAGTTTCCGATCTCGTTACTTATCCATCACTATTAGTTAATACTTGATCATTAATAACACTATCGGCAAGCGCCCTTCACCTATAAGAGTTTATAATTAAGTTAACAAGAATTCCTCGGAGAGTAACTATACCCTCGAAATATTTTCTTTTTTTTAGATACCTACCCACATACATATATTGAGGATATTATATTGAATTTTTTATAGGGAGGGGGGGGGGATCATCGAATGACTGCTCCCGCCTGGGTGAGGCGGGAGGGAGTGTCAGACTCTTACTGACTAAAAACCACCCCGCGTCTTCTGCGCTTCGAGCCGGAGCCCCGGTAACCCGTTCGGTTCTTCGCGACTTAATATATAAGGTGTTAATAAATTCGCTCTAAATATTTTATGAGGTTGGTGGGAATCAATAAACTGACACGTTTAGCAAAAAAAAATTAACAATTTTAACAACTTTTATTTTTAACAAAAATAAAGGAGTTGGTTAAACGTTTTTGTGCAAACCGTACGTGGGGCTGCGCTTGCGGCCCGAGCGAAGCAATGGCGCGCCGTCACCGTCCCCATGTTATCGCAATCTCTCTCTCTTTCTCCCTCTCTCCCGTTCGCTAGTTGCCCCGCTCTCTTTCCCACTTCTCTCTCTCTCGATCGCCAGTTGACCGATAGCTGTCGCGCGGGAAGGGTGTGGCCCTCAGTGTCGTTCAGTGTTGTGTCCGATCAATCGCACGCGCCATTTTTTATTGTTTGTTGTTCAATATTCAATAATGCAGTTTACGCATAGTAACCGCAAGTACTTAGACATGTTAATGTGGTACATTAGAAGTGGCGAAAATGTATCTGCAGCTCGTCAGTGGTAGTGAGATTAGAAACGCGGACGAATTAAAAATAAGCATAATAAACGCGTTTGATATTATTAAAAGTGACAGAGACACATTATTGCGAGTGAAAAACAACGTAATACGTCGCGTCGTACAAACTTGTGCATCGAACAAAGTGGAAGACACTTCCAAGTTCCAGCATCTTCTGTAAATAAGGTAGACTCTTTGTTAATACTTAGGTATCTAGAGACGGGCATTTATTCCGATGAATACTTGTAAATGATAAATACCTAAGTAACTACCAACCTACCACCTAGTACTAGTACTACTAACTACCGAAGTATTGGTTTTTGGTTGAGTTATTATTAGTATTTACCTATTCAAAAAATTGACATAATTAATCATTGTAGCTATGCTATTTTAATTATAAGCATATCAATTCAGTTAAATAACATAATCTAAACAGAGTCGTGTGGTCGTTTATTAAAATGAAACATTATTAAGTTCAGTAGTAACATAAGCGCGCGGTACCACGACACCTGCGTCAGCGCGGTCGCTCGGGGCTTCGTCGACGGCCTAGTACGCCGTACGGCGCGCATAGTAGGCTGTTTACGTGTAACACAAATAGTGGAATAACTTTAGAACGGTAGCTTTTTGTTAAATTATTTTTTCGTGATTAATTATGGAATAAATGTTACAACAAAACCTTAGATTTCCTAGAGTTACTTTATTAACACCTTATATATTGGATAATGGATACGAGTATGATTGTAAATGGTATCTAAGGATTATTTCCATATCCTACTATGTCTACAAAGTCAAATATGGAAATAATTCAGACAGAAAAATGACTTGTGTCAATGTGAATTTTATTTAGACTGCTGAAACCCATTCTTCGAGCGAAACAAAAGCTCCTGATAAACTCTTGATATTGATTCAAGGACCTCGGCTTTTGCAGAAACAAACTTTATTTAACTAATTCATTCGACGACCGGCATTGATAGTTTTGTTAGATACATAAACACCGAAAATGTCCTAAACATAACCACACAAGATAAGTCTGTATTAGAAACTACAATACTATGTTTATTTTAGAAGCAAACCCTAGTAATTTTCGACGGCAAGGCTATGTAATGCGTGAACTTATTCTTCAATACAATAATATAATTTATCTCACTTGGATTGCGGTATTGGCAAAGAAAAAAGATAGTCCATTGCCGCATTGCGGTAGACAAGTGTAATATAACTCTTTTTCACAAACTATCTAGCAACATCAATCGTTCCACAGGTCGTCCATCTTTGCAATTTCTATTTAGTAGATAACCGAAGCTACTTGAACGGAATCTGTAGAATATCGTAAGTTTGCTGGCACTATGTGGCTGTACCAAAATTAGTACTAAACTATGTTCAAATATAACGTTCTAGGTATTTAATTATCCACCAAGGGTAGGTAGTATTTTAGACAGCTTCTCACGTACGTTGGTATGTCTACCAAATGCTCATCCATGAATAAAATAAACGGCTCCTTAGGGGGATCGCCCCAGAGCCATGTCTTTTCTTTTCACCTACGTAAATCCTCGACCAATGTATTATTTACCAAGATTTACCACTGCGAACAAATGTTACTGATTCTACATAGCTGCGATAGTTCCCTATCGTACCAAATATCGCAAGTGATTCCCTATCTGTGTTATTTTATTGTTTTATTGATGATGTTCATGTAACAAAACTTTACCACCATTTTTACTACTAAAATCTACGAAGAAAGACTACCGATCTTAAAGAAATGTAACCACCCAAACTTGACCTACAATTAAAAAAAAAACTAAAAATAACTAATATTTCAAATATTACGATCTAATTTAATATTACGATCTAATTTCCTGAACTATTTATCCTAATTGAAAAAAAATTGTTTAGCTATGTTGAATAGTCATAGTCGCAATAGATCATAACGCTACATACAATAATTGGGTCTCTCTGCATCACCCTAAGGTTGACTGTTAGAGAATGCCATTCGGCATTAAGTCCGCCATTGCATACAATTGCAAGAAGTGTAAATAAATAAATAGAGTCGAGCAGCGAGTGAACCCTCACGGAAGTAACTAGTGTTCGATATTAAGCACCTATGACTGGTGATTCCATGATGTTACGCTTAGAGTCATATGAACCTTAATCTTAAAAAAATATAGGTAGGTTTGATTATAGGCTTTGTCATCCTTAAATACGATCTCTAGACAACAACGCAACTTCGTCAACAACCTATAAAGGGCCACTGCTGACCAAAGGCCTCTTCTGATATGGTGAAGGTGTGAACATTAATCACCTCGCTTGCTCAATGCGGGTTGGCGATTTCAAACCTTTTATTAGAAATTATAGGCCCAGGTCAGGTTTCCTCACGATTTTCCTTTACCGTTTGTCAGTGGTGTCTAAATAATCTTAGAAAGTACCAACATATAATTTGAAAAAACTCACATTGGTAAGTAGTACCAAGGTACGGGTTCAAAACCGACCAACAGCATGTCCCCTCATGCATGAGAAGAACTTCTGGGCCACCACGACATAGACATCGAAACCAACCAAACAAACATCCACTGCCGAACAAAAGGCCTTGGATTGCCATCATTGCCACGTCAAATACAAATTCACCATTTATATCCAAACTAGCTGTTGCCCGCGACTTCGGCCGCGTAGAATAATGGCTTGTAAGATTTATTGTAAAAAAAATAAATCGTGATTTAAAAAAATTAATAATCCAGCAGGGATTTTACCAGTACAGTGCCCGTTCCCGTAAGGTTTGAGTACTAAAAACTATTCTATCGACTATTGTTGTGCCAAATCTCTAATAAGTTCAGTGGGTAAGAGATAGAGACTTCCGGGGCTTTGACGCATAGCTCTCGTTCCCATGGGACTCCTGTGATAAAAACTATCATACAACGTTTCCCAGATCTCAAATTATCGTTTTATCGAATGTAACTCAAAAAGATTCAATGATTCTAGATTCAATAGATTCAATGGCTAAGAAGATTTATATAATCTCTTATTCTTATAGATTTATATAATATTTTATCCCCTTAAGGGTGGAATTTATCAAAATTCTTTCTTAAGAGATATCTATGTCATAGGTACTAGGTTTATGCAAGCAAAATCTCAGCCCGATTGGTTTAAAACTGACCAACTTTCATCTCCTATTTTATCCCCTTGAGGGGACATGATCAAAATCCTTTTTAGCGGAATGGCTAGGCTTTCCAAATTTCAGCCCGATCCGTCCAGTGGGTTCGACTGTGCGTTGATAGATCACTATGTCAACCAGTGAATCAGTCAGTCAGTCACAGTCAGTCACCTTTGATATATATATAGATACCTTCTGCAAAATAGGTAACTGCATGGTTAGCTCTGCGTCTAGGCAGATGATTGCTGCGCAATTTGTCACGAGTCCTGTACTGAAGACCGCTTTGTGTTCTCCTGGGATGGTTGTTCCGAACCTCAGTATCTACCACGTTATATTTAAAAAAAATATCCTTGACTTTTGACAATGGAGCCAGAACCACATAGCGGTACATTTGCAAACATTCTCGCTATTTAGGGTTACTGGTTGTTAACAAATAATCAAAATTGTCTACAATGAGGATCACTTACTCAATAATCAAAGAGTAAATGTATTTGTAAAACATTTCATACAAAAATTTTATTCGTGCAAGGCATGTATAATTTTCTGCGCAAAGCATACATTACATTGAAACAAACAAAATTAATATACATCTTCAAAAATATCAATTAAAATGAGTATTTTCAAAGTAAAATAAAGCCTGAAGAATTATATTTAAAATCGACTAAAATTAATGGCGTGTATGGACTGCTTTATATCCAAAGTTATTTATGCAATGGCTCAAGGAGGTGTGTTGTCTAAATAGACAGTGTGTCAAAGTAACAAAAAAATACTTTTAAGAAAATCCGACAATTCATGGACATGGCGTAAATTGGTTTTGTGAATAGAAATAGAAGAAAAACAGATTGTTCTAGAAATTAAATGATGGCTGCACGAGGGGATAGAGGAGTTTCAAGAGTACTTGATAAGTTAGAAGCGTCTGTAAACTCTGGTCATTACTATGAGGCACATCAAATGTATAGAACTCTTTATTTCAGGTACAAGTCATGTATTTGCGCTTCAAGTTGTTCAGGAACCTAATAACGAAAGTGTTTATTAAAATGCTATGATTTTTGCAGATATCTTAGTCAAAAAAAGTATGAAGACCTATTAAATCTATTGTACAAAGGTTCGACGTTGTTGCTACAACGTGACCAGCAAGAGAGTGGAGCAGATTTGGCAATATTACTCATAGATGTGTTGAATAAATCAGAAACGAAACCATGTCACGAATGGATTGAGAAACTAGCTAAGTTATTTGAATTAATGAGTGCTAGTATACCCGAGAGGGAATCTTACCTCACTAATGCTGTCAAATGGTCTATGGATAATAACAAAAAAGGACATCCACTACTTCATCAGGTACTTGATTCTAATTGGGATGAGTATATTGTTATGTAAACACAATTAGCAGTCTTATAAGACTCCGTTTCATTGCACTGCAAGTTGACATTCACCTTGTTTACTTTCTACTTCAGATTTGTCTACATTCTACTTTAGATTCATCACCATCATCATCATCAACAGCCTATAAACTTATATATAAATCTTAGATTACATGTTACTTTTATCTTGTTTTAGAGAATCGCTGAAGTGTATTGGAAGGAAAAGAAATATGCAGCTGCTCATAGACACTTCTTGCATTCTTGTGACGGAGCTGCGTATGCCAGTATGCTTGTCGAACTTCACACGACAAAAGGACTAAAATCTGAAATAGATTTGTTCATAGCACAGCCAGTATTGCAAATTCTTTGTCTGCGCAATATACAAATGGCCACAGATACATTTAATGAATACACAGGCCTACACCCTACAATAAACAATAATAAAGGGCCTCCTTACATATTTCCATTACTAAATTTTTTGTGGTTTCTATTACGTGCAATTGAACAGTAAGTATAGAATATTTCATTTCATATTATTATATTATTAATTCTTACACATTCTTATTAGAATCTCATACAAATTTTCTGTTTCAGGAAACATTCTAATCAGTTTAAAATTTTAAGAAATTGGTATGCAATAAGTATTAAAAGAGATCCCAACTACTCAGTGTATTTAGACAACATTGGGCGTATTTGGTTTGGCATAGAAATACCGCCCGACAACAAACATGGTGGATCAGTATTTGGAGGACTTTTGAAGTCAATAATAGGTGAAGCTGATAGTTCCGATGATGATGGAGACTATGTAGGAAGAAATGCTGCCGCCCCTGACCTGGATTAAATCCATAAAAGAAATCACTTAATTAAACATATTATTTTATTGTGAGTCCTAATGTCTGGCGCCAATTATTATAGTACATAACAAATAATAAATAATACATGCTAACAAAATAAATATGAAGACCTTGATAACACAATACATATTGCATAAGCGTAAGGCTTGTTCTATGGAGAAGTAATAGCCATAGTGCCAACTCTTATGATTCTCTAGGTCCTTTTTCTTTCAACTATCTGATCATACAGTGTAATGACTACTTCACAGCTGGCATTTTATTAATATAATATCTTCCTAATGGCATGATTAACACTCCATATGAACCAAATCCATGTTTATTGTTACTACAAAAAATTGTGGTCTTGTAAACTACCTAAATTTTTTTATGCTGCTCAATGTTTTGATTGCATTTCTCAACCTTGACAGGGTCATAGTTACACCACATGCATCAAGTTCTAGTACTTGATAGGTTGTTAGATTGTGGTTTACCTCAAGTTATTGTTAGATTGTTCAAGTGCTATATTATCATGGTCTTCATGTTATTTTTTCCTTTGATTGGTGTTCTGTTATTATATTACTATTTTTATAAGTTGATGTTGTAAGCAGTCTGGTAATGTGACAAATTTAGGATTGTCCTTAATATTTATTAAATTAGGTTTTAGTAAGGCAACAGATAAAAGATTATATTAAAGACTAGATATGGGCCTCATTTAAACAGCCTGCCACGACCTAAAGCAAGCATGGCATGCACATGATTTAAAATTAGTTCCATGCCATTCACAACTTGCTCATTGGTAACACATTCACTCAGTCCTTGATGTTTGTGCATAAAACTCACATTGTGATTTTAGAACTTATTATAAAATGTTGCGTACTAGCGACACAATCAACACTGAGCCACAGTTTTAGAAACAAAAATGATGTAAGAGGTCAATTTGTTGAACTTGCTATGTAAATATACTTTGCTTCTGCTTTGTCATTTAAAACATTTGTTAAAGGTTATAATTATATTAGGTGGAAAGATTACTTGTAAAAATTGTTTAACATATAATTTATTTGTAACAAATTTATAGTCATAAAATCATTATAGGTACATTTTTAATATAGTAGCTAGGTAATTCAGTTTACAATTTATAAGATTGCAGGATGGACAATGTTGTACATAAATGGAATTTCTTGTCTTATGAAATCCATTGTCAACTGAATAATTGTAAAACTGAATTATGTAACAAATAATCATAAATACATGGTAATGATTTTAATAAAGATTTTATTATTGATTCAAATTAACCCTACATTTTACTATTATCACATTTCAACACTGTACTGCATTTATACTGTATAATAAAAAAACATGTGCATATCCCATGGACAAGTATCTGCTAAGCAATCAATCACAGCAATAATTATGGTAAAGCTATATTAAACTGTAGTAGACGGAAGTTGAATGCAACATGTATAAATTAGCAACTTATTGTTATCATTTCATATTAAGATATAAGTTATCTCTGTACAACTTTACTATTATCATATGACCCTGAACACTGCTGCCAGTTATTTATCAAGATCTTCTATTACCACTGCTGTCATTTCCCTGGTCAAATTTTTAATTCTAAGCATTTCTTTACGAAGCTGCAGTTTTAAGTTCCTAGTCTTCAGGTCTAGAGCTTGTCTAGCAATAAATCTGTTGAACTCTAGAACATCAGGGTGGTTCATATATTCTTCAATGGGCATCCACTTGCATGCCTTGATTTCATTGTCGGCTTTTGTGATTGTTTCTGATGTGGCTTTCAACAAGATGATCACATAGATATCAGAGTTTCCAAACATAGTGTTGTGGGTGTGTCTTAGTGTAACCATAGATTCAAAAGTTGCATCAATTCCTGTTTCTTCCTTAACTTCTCTTATGGCTGCATCTTTTATGTCTTCTCCTGTAAATATACAAGAAATGAACTACTGCTTATTTAAAAAGGAACTGATAATACGAGTTAGGCTTGATATTACCTCTTTCCACATATCCTCCAGGAAGTTTCCAATGAGGGAATTCAATGTAGTTCTCAGCAACTACTAATATTTCATTTTTATCATTGAATACCATTCCACCAACACCAAGATTTGTATGGCAAGCTGGAGGTAAGTTGGATGGAGTGTTAGGAAGCCATTTGTACATCATGACAAAATCATCACGGGCATGATGGAAGTTGAAGCCTTCCTGTATAAAAAACCAAAATTAAATATTTATACTTTACTTACATACTTTAAAAAAAAACTACAGAGAAAATAAATATGAACAAAATTACATTAGCTAACACTGGTACCCAAGCTGCGTCTTTGATGTTAACTTTGAACCATATACAGCGTTTGTTCGATTCAGTCCACACTCTTATCGATTCTGAAATAAAAAAACGAAGACTTCATCATTTCTGTTACTCTTATGGTACAACACAACTTCAGTCGGAAATACAATTTCTAACAATAGATAAGATCTGTTGAATTTGCATCATAATTACCATTCAGTTGATTTAAGAGTTGATCGTTTTCACAAGGTTCTTCCTGAGAATCTACTGTAATACCATTGTACCTATCTGTAACACCTTCAAAAGTTTTAGATTCCATTTTGATTCAAGTTATTATAACTATCATACGATTGTGTAGCATTAGGTAAGCACAATTCTGGCTTGAATTTTGTTAGATATTCTCCAGAACAATTAGATATTTAACTTCGTTGCAAAAACCAACCAAATTGAATTCGAATTGATAACGCAATGATAAAATGGAAAATATGTCATCAGATGACAAGTGGCCACATTGACAGTGACAGTGACTTTCAATACTTATTAGTGATCAGTGTTAAGCAATTTCACAATACATGTAAATATTCATATTTCGTAATTTATTATAGAAATATAAACAATTGGTATTAAAATATCAATTTCCAATCATCAAAATCATAATTATAGTGTCACGTCTCAGTAGCCGTCAGAACCTAAAATTAATATTCAGCCTGGTTCAATGAACGCAGCATAAGCATATAGGGACTGTCTTTGACATTGGCGCACATTTTTCATTTATTGTCAACTTGTCAAATGTCATTTTTCAATGAGAACGACGAAGTAAAACTTGATTTTTTACAGACTTGTGATTGTGAATTTGTTTTTCTACGTTCTATCTTCCATTTGATAATGCTAATAAAGCAATAATGAATAAATTACTATTATTTGGTTTACGTCTCAACCAAAAAACTCTATTCTTAGGGTAAGTGGCTTAAACATAATGTTATGCTAAGCTTTACAAAATTATTTAAATCTTGCGTCTGTTCGTTATTTACTTATTATATCATGTTTATTTATTAAACACAAATAATGATAAACTCACTCTGGATCGTGTGCAATAATGTTACTGAATATAATTTAAGTGTTTCTGATTTTAGAAAGGTTCCTGTATGTGCATACTCCACAGAAGCATCTAATAAAATATTCAATGGGGCTAAAGATAGATACAATGGCATCACAATTGACTCAACTAAAGAAATGTTTAATGAGAAAAAGTTCAATGAAAATCTAGATGGTAAGTAGAAGTAATTCATTTTAAATATTATTAATGAGTTGTGTTTTTAGATCTTGAAAACTAACTAGTTAGTACAATGTTTCGAATTGTGCCCTGCATAATTGTGTCTATGGAACATGCTGCATATTATATGTAAAAAAATTGGGATATGGTACTATACTTAGTCCCAATAGAAAATAAATAGAATTATACTTAACAGTTTCAAAGTTACTTAAACTGTCAAACACCAAGCGGTCACTGGTGACCGCAACCTATTGTTCTATAATTGTGTCTATAATGACGGTACTCGGCGAGTTAATCATCATAATTTTTGTTAATCGCAAAGGCAGAATTTAAGAAGATATTAACAAACATTTTCATATCTAAATAGATAATAGATGAAGAAGTCTTCATCCTCCACAATTCATTTATTTACTCTAAGCATGTTGATAAAGAAGATAACAACTAAACTATATTTTCCGATAGTTGTATGGTTACCAGTTTTTTTTTGGATATTGTTAAAATCTCACATAAAACACATTTTATTTACACATTCCAATATTCCATTATAACTAAATGATCAATAATTTTTAAACTAAGCTGTATATATTTTACTGTTATATATCTATTTTTATTATTTAGTAGGTACTAACATATATATTTTGTACTTAGTATAGTTTTGATATTTGCCTGAATAAAATATTGATTAATGAGTATTATTTCATTTGTTTATTTGTATCAGACAATGGAGGCCCATATTAGCCCATTGAAATTTTTCCATTACTATTTTCCAAATCATCCCCTAAATTTGTTCATACAAAAGTAGTCTCTAAACATTGGAAATAAGGTCTATAATTTACAAGTGAGTCTTGCTCAAAGTTGTTTATGGCATGTGATAGGAATTTATTATTAAGTGGACTTTGATCTAATGATTACAAAATTAGGCATAGCATTTGCCAATCTATATTGTCATTCAGAAATAGATTTGTGAATCATAAAATGTGTGTTAATACTAATACTTTAAAACTGTAATGTTATGTTATAATATGTAATATGTTTTGTAAGTAATATGTTAAATATTAACCTTTAATTTATTAAATGTAAGAAAAACGAGCATGATCAATACATAGTATAAAACAAAGTCGCTTTCGCTGTATGTCCGTATGTATGCTTAGATCTTTAAAACTACGCAACGGATTTTGATGCGGTTTTTT